ATTTATTAAATCGACAAATCTGCATTGCACGTCTACTGTGTATTATGCATAAGCCTAAAAGCCAGTAATATGCACTGGGTGGAACCAACATAATCCCTGTCTGCATAGGTTCACAAAACATTCAGCTGCAAATACAGACAATCTTGAAATGGTGGCTTCAACAGATCGGGTCTTATTTTTATCATCTGAGAGTATTCTGGAGGTAGGCAGTTCAAGGATGGGGCAGCCATTCAACAATGCTATCGGAGACTGTGACTCTGTATCTTCTTGGTTTTGCCACCTGCAAGGAGGTTTATCCCCATGGCTGCAAGATGGCTGCTGTAGTTCCAGATATCACATCTGTATTCCAAGAGGACCAAAAGCCTACTCCTCCCAAGGTCTTTTTTTTTTTTTTCTTACCTTGGGGCTCACCTTCCTAACAGACTCTACTTCTACCTCGTCGGTCAGAATTTTGTCACGTGGCCACCACTGGCTGGAATGTGAAGGGGGAGTTGGATCAGGGTGGTGTTGAATGAGCTATCCTGTAGTATCTACCGTACTGCCCAAGTGTCCAAAGGAGCAGGCAGACAGGTAGCAAATGACTTCATCGTTAGTCATTGATTACTACTCGAGAGTCTCAGTGCATGTCTCAGGTTGGGTTTCTTTTGAGGCAGACCCTGAAATAGGGATTTGAGGGCAAGTAATTTTATTTTGGGGGGTGATGCTAGGACACAGTGGTACAAGTGGGGAGGAGGGTGGGGCTCACCTGCCCTGGGAACCTCACAGCTTTCTCCTCCTCTGAGGCTGAGAGAGCTGGCTGTCCTGGGGGCCTTCACCTGCCCGCAATTCCAGCCCTTCACACCCGGGGAGAAAAGTCCATACGTGGGGAGTTGCTGGGTGTGTATAGCAGGATGCTGTAGGCATGAACTAGGAACCTGAGTGCAGGACAGGATATGGCGGGACATTCATCACACCTGGACTGGCATATCGTAAGAGCCTTTAACCCAAGCTGGGGTGTCAGCTTCTCCCCAGAGAAGTAATTTTCGAGACCAAGCAAGAAAAAAAAAAAAAAAAGTGGAGGTAAGAGTGTTCCAGTTAAAGGGAACGGCACATGTGAGGACCCAGAGGCAGGAAAGAATGTCACATGTCCAAAGCCTGGGCGTGTGAGGCTGGCGAGGCAGTCAGGGCCTCAGGCCAGCAGAGCTGCACGAATCCAGAATCCACTAAATACAAAACGCGTCCTTGCCCATGATGCCTGGAGCTTTGTCATGAGAGGTAACCTTTCTTCTTGACGTCCTGACATCCTCCCTCCTTTTTGCCCTTCTCTTTCTTTTAAAACATTTCCTCCTTGGGGCGCCTGGGTGGCTCAGTCACTTAGGCCTCCGACTCTTGGTTTCAGCTCAGGGTGTGATGTCCCAGTCCATGGGATTGGGCTCTGCGCAGATAGCTCAAAGCCTGCTTGGGATTCTCTCTCTTTCCCTCTGTCTCTGCCCCTCCTCTGCTCATGCTCTCTCTCTCTCTCTCTCTCTCTCTCTCTCTCTCTCTCTCTCTCTCAAAATACGCTCTAAAAAATTAAAAAAAAATTTTTCCCTTACATTCTTAAATTGCAGTCCCTCCCACCCCCATCTCAAAGTGCTTTCCACGCATACTAATGGTAACATTGCTCTGACTCTGCAGAGGTTACAAAGTGCTTTTACATCCACCAACCTCACCCACTTATCCCATCCTCATAGTGCCCCTTCTGGGACTGGTAGGTAGGAGTACCCCCATTTTACAGCTGAGGAAACTGAGGCTCAGAGAAGGAAGGCACCTTGTCTGGGCTCTCAGGGCCTGTAAGATGCTGATCTAAGACTCAAAATCAACCTCTGAAGCCCCGTCTCTGATGTTGTTCTCTGCCACTCCCAGACCCAGCATGGTGCCCGGTGTGGCTTTAATTCTAAATGCTGTGGTTTGTTTGGATTCTGCCTCAGGAGCCTTCCAATGTTATCATGCCTCTTCAGTTGACTGGCTGAGTAATGATATCATCCAGTGTCTGATGTGCTTCACCCCTTTCCCTATTTATTGAAAAACATTAGTGTTTTTTTTTTTTTTTTTAAGAGTGACTGAGCACAGTTAGGTAGATTATATTAAAATCCTCAGGAACAACAGAGTGATGAAAACCAACCAAGTTATCCTTATAAAGGGGCCTGGAAGAAGTCCTCCTTTTGGGGTTGAGGAAAGTGAGACCTGGTGAAGACACAGGAACAGGCTGGGCGGAGGGGGCATCTTCTGGGCTGGTCTTCTCCTGGTTCCGGTAACAGCACCTTGGTTTTCCTTTGGGAAGCTACCTGATTTTTCCCAGATAAGATACAGGATGCTCAGTTAAATTTGAACTTCAGGTTGGAAAACAACAATTTGTGTGTGTGTGTGTGTGTGTGTGTGTGTGTGTGTGTAAGTATATTCCAAGTATTGCATGGTACATACTTGTACTATATATCTACTCATTGTTTATCTGAAATTCAGATTTGACTTTACTTGCTGCATTGGATAGCCGTGACCCCTCTTAGCTCAAATGTTGGGGGGAAACTGATCCACCTTACCTTGGGTCCAGGAAAGGACAGGTGATCTGGGCTTGGCCACCATGGCATTTTATCCCTCCTACCCACAGAGATGAGTCAGAGATGGGGAGATCAGCTTCAATGTTGGAAATTTGCCTGGCACCATTGAAAAAGAGATTCTTTCTTTTGGCTGGGGTCACTCATCTGGACCCCTGGGGTCCAACAAGTGAGAGTCTGCATAAGAATGAAGCCAAGAGAGAGGGGAACAGCAACAGAAAGAGAGAGAGAGAGAAGAGATTTAACGTTAAAGACACCACTGGGGGGCCTGGGACCAGCCTCACTGAATTTCACCTCCATCCTGCCTCCCAAGTGCTGATGGAACAGGGGAGGGCTGATCTCATGATGTTGCAAGCGAGGGCAACAGCGACAGTGGGATGCATTGAAAGCAAAGGCTTCGTTTGGGGATGGTTGTGGGAAAGGCCAGTCCTCATCATGGCAGTGGTGGAGGCAGTGACCGAGTGGAAAGGTGTGCACAGTCAAGGGGAGGGTGTGGTCTTGCTGGAGGTCGTGCTGTTCAGGGTGCAGGTGCTGCGGATGACGAAGGTGCAGATACCAACGATGGGGGTCAGGATGGTGTTGGTAAGGAGAATAAAGTAGCGAGGGAAACACTGGTTCCTGACCTGTCCGTCACCAAGTCTTACCAGCTCTGCCCTCGTCAGAATTTTCAAATTATCTATTCACTTCACTGTCTGTGTACTGCCATCACCACCCAAGCCCAAGCCGCCAGCAGCTCTTGTTGCTTCTGCGGCTACGTCCCCGTCGCTGACCTCCTTCCTGCCTCTCCCTATGGTCTCTGCTCCGTGCCAAAGTCTGCGTGGAGCATGACATTTAAAAAAAAATGTAAATTCAAGTTTCGGTTCTCCGCCCAAACCCACTCAGTGGCTGCAGCTAGGATCCCAACGCTCCATCATGGCCTCAGGACTGGAGTGACCTGGCCCCTACCTGTACCCCAACCTCATTTCCCTCCAGTAGCTTCTCCCTCACTATGTTCTTGTCTGATTACTCTTCTTTTGGTTTTTCTAGAATATACTAAACCCTTTGTGTAAGGCACGTCCTGGGCGTGAAATGCCTTGCCACGCTTCACGTGTCAGTGCCCATGTCACTTCCTAGATTCCAAATCCACATGACCTCCTCCTGTTCCTTTCTCCCATGGCACCCTGTTCTAAGGACACTCTGTTGAATGATTCTCTCTCCAGTTTATCAGTTGCAGAGTCTTGGCACAATGTTTCTTCAAGAATGTGTCACAGGAGAGCTGCAGCTCCTAAGGATGGTCACCTCCAGCAGCCAGAATCCTCATCCAATGACCTGGGTGTGCGACACAAATAGCATTATTTCCTCTTTGTGTCCTGCTTTGAAAAGGCTGAGAAGCCTACACCATGCACTTCTCAATGGCAGGGGCTGTTTGGGTTGCTCATGCCTACGTTAACATAAGCTATAGTGTTTGGCCCATAGTAGGCACTCAAGAGGTATTTCTTGAAAGAATGAAAGGTTTTATGGTGGTGAAGAAGGTGGTGGAATTCATAAGGATGATGGTGCTGATAAAGAAGAGGTTGGCGGGGCGCCTGGGTGGCTCGGCCGGTTGAGCGTCCGACTTCGGCTCAGGTCATGATCTCGCGGTCCGTGAGTTCGAGCCCCGTGTCGGGCTCTGTGCTGACCGCTCAGAGCCTGGGGCCTGTTTCAGATTCTGTGTCTCCCTCTCTCTGACCCTCCCCTGTTCATGCTCCTTCTCTCTGTGTCTCAAAAATAAATAAACGTTAAAAAAATTCAAAAAAAAAAAAAAGAGAATGGTGATGGTGGTGATAATGACGGTGGTGGCGATGGTGGTGGCAGTGATGGAGGTCTTCCGCGAAGAGGCAGGGGAGGCGATAGACTCGGAGCACCTGGCCTAGCCCATCGCTTTAAAAAGCTTTCACGAAAAACGGGCCCGCCTTTTGCCTCTGCAGTCGACCCAGAAATACCAACCAGAGGTGGGTTTCGGAGGAAGTGTATTGGAGCTGGAGGAAGAGGGGCTGTTGAAGACTGCCCGGCCGGCGAGGCCCCGCGGCCTTCCTCCCAGGTTGTGGGAGGGCTGCCCTCCTGCAGTCGGCCACCGAGAACTTCCGTACTTGTCTGGACGAGGGACGGGGGGGCCGGAGGGGGAGCCGTGGGAAGGCCCCGAGCACGTGTGGCTGGAAGCGGGGAGAGCCGGGAGGGCTGGGGCGGAAAGGGCCAGGCAGGGCAGACTGGGTGACGGCCAGACAGGGGGAAGAGAGCCTGGGAGGAAAGTAGGGGATGGGAGTGGAGGGCTGGGGTGGGGTCCAGCGAGGCGGGGGAGGTCCAAGGGGAGGGATGAGGGCTCGGATGGGGGGTCTGAAGGCGGAGGTGGAAGGCCGGGGTCTCAGGTGCGGGGTCTGAGAGTGGCGGTGGCTCCGCGAGGCCGGGGCGGTTGGTTGAGGGAGGGGCGCTGGCAGGTCCGCGGGCGCAGGTGAGGGTCTGAGGGCGGAGCCAGGGCCGGAGGGAGGGCTGGCGGGCGGCAGGCCCGCGCGGCTCCGAGTCCCGAGGCTGGGGAGCCGGAGCTGGGAGCCGCGGGCGGCCGTCCCGGCTGCGCCATGCGGGTGCACCTGGGCGCGCTGGCGGGCGCGGCGGCGCTGACCGGGGCGCTCAGCTTCGTGCTCCTGGCGGCCGCCATCGGCACGGACTTCTGGTACATCATTGACACCGAGCGGCTGGAGCGGGGCGGCCCGGGCGTGCGGGGCCGGGCGGGGGCCGCCAACCGCAGCCAGCTCGAACCCCTGAGCTCGCACTCCGGCCTCTGGCGCACCTGCCGGGGTAAGGCTGAGCGCGGGGACCCTGCGCGCTGCGCGCCCGCCGGGGACCTGTTGCCGGGCTCGCAGCTCTTCCCCTGCCCCCCACGCACTCCCCGCCGCCCCAAGGCACAAAACGGGGGGTCTGGGCCCGGGCCAGGTGGGCGGGGGGCTGCAGAGCGGGGCTGGTTCCGGCCGCAGCTGCTCCGGGCTCCGCACGATCCTCCCCCGGGGCGGCAGCCAGGGTGGGCGCGGGGGGGGGGGGGGGGGGGGTGGGCGAGGCCACCGGCTTGGGGTCCCCGCTCCGGGCCCGCAGCCGCTGATTCCTCCGCCCCACCTAGTCCAGAGCCCGTGTGCGCCGCTGATGAACCCCTTCCGGCAGGAAAACGTGACCGTCAGCGACTCAAGCCGGCAACTTCTCAGTGAGTCCCGGGAGGTTGGGGATCGGGGGAGAATCCCGGGTCTGGACGCCAGGTTTGGGGCTCTCCTCCAAAGAGCGGGGCCAGGGCGCTGCGGAGGGGGCGCTCCGGTACCGGGCCGGGGAGGGGAGGGGAGTGAGGGGCAGGGGCGGGGCCTCTCTTGCTCCACAGGTTACATCGTGCGGTTTAGAATTCATTCGACAAACGTTCATCACAGGCTTTCTATGTGCCAGGCATCATGCTGACAATTAAGACCTAGGTCATGCCCTCCAGGGGCTCAGATACTAGCTGCGGAGACAGATGTAGAAATGCACAGTCACGTTTCAGAGTGACAAGCAGCGGGGGTGCGGGGTGGAAGAGACACCTAAACCAGCCTGGGGACCTGAATGCTGAAAAGAGAGATCTTAGCCCATAGATCCGAAGGCACGCCCCGTGTCAGCCTTATTTGTATCCTCAGTGCTGAGAACAAGCGCTTGGATTTGTGCAATGATTCAAGAGAGGCAATCAAGGGGCAGAGAGCAGCCCCCTCCCTCCAGGGGAAATGAACATAATAGTTGAGTTCGTTCACCGAGACTCGCAGTGGACCAGACATGGAGCTAAATGCTTTCCATCTATGTTTTCATTTAATGTGCACCTGCTGTGCTATGGAGTTAGTATCATCTCCATCATTGCCTTCATTTTTCAGGGAGGTACCATAGAAACAATCTGATGAGGCAATGGGGCTAAGCTCCATAGACCCTGAGAAATGTGAGTAGCTCTGGGTAGGCTTGTTGAGGCTTGGGGACAAAGCTGAAGTCACTGGCCAGGGTGCCTCTCCAATTCCCTTCTTCCCCCTTGCTCTTTTTCTCCGGCTGGAATGTGCTAAATTTCCTCCTGCCGCTGGGACTTTGCACGTGCTATTTCCTCTGCCTGAACTCTCCCTGCTCCCGTCCTGCCAGCTTGACTTGCTCGGCTTCTACTCATAGCACAGGTTTTGTGACAGTTTTTGAGTCAAAAGTCTGGCTCCCTCATTAGACCGTGAAAACATGAGGGCAGGGACCATGTCTGTCTTGCCTCAGCTTGATGCCCAATATTTAGCACAGAACCTGGCACGGAGTGGGGTCAAAGCCAAGATTTGCTGAGCAGGGGTGAGAATGAGTATATTATAATATAGTATGTCAGAAGTGGAACATAAATGAATAAATATGTCAGTGAAACAGACCCTTTCTCCGAAGTCCGGTGGTGTGCCGGGAAAGAGTTAACAATGGTCTTTCTGGGGAAGGAGGGAGTCTCCTGGTTTGATTTGAAGCATTTGCCGATTTCTGTGGTGTAGATGTTTCAAGCTGTCAACATGATGTCAACTGGCTCCCCCAAATCCCCAGAACTTAGCTGTTGGCTCTCATGAGGAGATAGAACCCAGTCCCACTGCATAAGGTCCCAGTGAAGGAGATGTCCCCTAGACCCTTGAAATATGTGGGAGATGAGGGAACTCTGTTTTTAGTCCCAGGCAGAGCAGAACCAATGTTCGGTGTTCCTAGAGCATCATTTCAAGAACAATCAAGAGTTCCTGGCCTTGACGTGAGGGAGGTGGGTGTCAAATGGCAGCCCAGACCTTTAGCAGGACACTCTGTGCTCTTGGGACAGGTGTCTTAACCTCTCTGAGCCTCAGTTCCCTCATTGGCAAAGTGGGCATACCAGCTATCTCTCTTCATGAGGATGCGGGGAGGATGCGGGTGCGTTTGAGGAGCCTCAGCGGTGCCTGTGCTCCATGAGTTCACCTTGAGTCGGAGTTGCTGCTACACCACGAAGGCTGCCCCTTCAGACCGCATGCTCGTTGCACACCACCCCCAGAAAGAGCCTTTTCTCAGACTCCCTTTACCCCAGAATGAACCGTGAATCTTGGCCAAGCCCTTTTGTTATGTGAAGATGTTCCTTTCCTTCGAGGACCTGCTTTTGAGGTCGTAGACGAGACAGGACAGTTGTCAAAGCAGCACGTTCTCCGAGTCAGCTTCCTAGACAAATCCCAGTGGGAGTGTCTGGGGAAGGAGTCTTGGGTTTTTTCCTGCAAGGAAACCCAAGCAGGCAGACCACTCCAGCGCCTGCTAAAACCCCACCTTGCTTGGATGTTTTGTCTTCCAGATTAGCTCTGGGGTTGACATGGGTTTGGTTGCTTGGCCAGGGACTGGAATTATTTTTTGGCCCCCCCCCCCCCCCCCCCCCGACAGATTGCATACCGTGTCGAAAAAAGAGCCATAGTCTAGAAACAACCAGGCTAGCTGCATCAGCCAGGAGTCTTTTGGTGAAACACAAATCATCCTTGTTTAAACAAGAAGAGGAATTCTTGGTCCGCTTGAAAAGTTCAAGTGTGCTGGGATCCAGAGAGCTAAACTCAATTTCTTTCTTCTCCTCTCTGCGCTTTGCTTCTGTTTGGGTCCTGTTTTCAACAAGTCCTCTCCAGTCTCAGCAACCCAAGCGGCAGGAGGCTCTCTGTTTCCCAAAAGTCTGCAGAAACTTCCAAATAGGCTTCTCATTGGGCCACATTGGATCACAAGCCCAGGTCTGAGCCAATCATTGTGGCCGAGAGGATGGGATGTGGTGATTGGCCGGGCAGAGTCGGCGCTTGTAACTTGGCATAGGAGCAGGGCCAGTCCTGTCATAGAGGGGGGCCCCATATCTGAGCAGCTGTGTGTCTTCTGGCAGGTCCCCTGCTTCCATAAATGGGCTGCTTTGAGACGGAATGAGATCACGTAAGCAAAGCAGCATAGTGATACCATGCATAGTGGAAGCTCAATTAATGTTGCCTCCTCCTGCTCTAAGTCACATTGCCTCCCTGAGCCTCAGGCTTCTCATCTGTAAAATGGAGCTAATCACTAGAGACTTAGTCCATAAGTATTCCTTCTCACACTGGGCTAGACGGGCGAGGGGCTAGAACACGAGGAGACAGGTGCGTCTCACACAGAGTTTAGAGTCTGGCGCAGAAGGCAGATAATAAACACACGGGCCAGTGACTAAATAAACGTAAACTTGTTTCAAATAGTAGCAGGTGTACAAAGGGAATGAAGCAGGGTCACCTTTCCGTGGAGTGGTTGAAGGACAGCGAGAGGAACAGCCAACATTTATGGAACAGTCGTGTGTGCCCGATGCTATTCTGAGCGCTTTGCATATATCACCTCACTTAATCTTCACGACAGTCTCACAAGGCAGGAACTTTTATTATCACCCTCACTTTTCAAATGAGGAAACTGAAGCACAGAGAGGTTAGGTAAGTTATCAAAGTTTGCACAGTAACAGGTAGGTCTGGGAATTGAATCCAGGCCGTTGCTACCCTTTGAGAATGAGACGACACTGAGTACGATTCCCACGTAATGTGAGCGTGCTGAGCCCGAGGCCATCGGAGTCCAGAAGAGGAGCTTTTGGCTCTTTCCTGGATTCAGAGTCCCCATCCTACACTGCCTCTTCTGACAAGGAATCAGATCGAGATTACCAGGAGGCTTAGCATGAGCAGAGCTGTGCAGTAGATTTGGGGTGGTGGGGGAGGTCCAGAGACAGCTGGAAGGCCGGTGTTTCTGGAGACAGCGTGGAAAGTGGGTCTGGTTTTTTCTTCTTTTATGTATTTAAAAGGTTTTAATGTTTATTTATTTTTGAGAGAGAGAGAGAATGAGCTGGGGAGGGGCAGAGAAAGACAGAGACACAGGGTCTGAAACAGGCTCCAGGCTCTGAGCTTTCAGCACAAAGCCCAACGCGGGGCTGGAACCCACGAACTGTGAGACCGTGACCTGAGCCAAAGCCGGACGCTTAACCGACTAAGCCACCCAGGCGCCCCTCTATTTTTTATTTTTGAGAGAGAAAGAGAGAGCGTGAGTGGGGGAGGTGCAGAGAGAGGGGGACAGAGGATCTGAGGTGGGCTCCATGCTGACAGCAGAGAGCCCGATATGAGGCTCGAACTCATGACTTGAGCCGAAGTCAGATGCTCAACTGACTGAGCCCCCCAGGTGCCCCTAGAAAGTGCTTCTTACACACACCTCAAGTCCTGCCTGTTCCTTACTTTGGCTGCATCTCCGAAGAGCCAGGAAAAAGGTCAGACTGATCCTCCTACAGCCAAATGCATCAGACACGGAGAGGCCAAACGCCTCGCCCAACACAGCACAGCAGGGGCAGAAGGTGGACGGAGGTCCAGAGGCCTGGCCTGCTTGTCCTCTGAGGAGGTGATGTTGGAAAAATCACAAGACTGGATCTCCAGTCCTTCTGGGAACCCAGCTGTTGCAGCGGTGTGGAAAATTAAAACCAGCCCTCCCACGAGGCTTGGTGCAGATTTCAAGAGTAGAGATGGTGGGGGACAGAAAGAAAGGGATTGGGGACATAATGGCATTCAGAGGCTGCCTGAATCCAGGGGGAAATTCTCAGTGTGACTTATGCATAGCTGTGTGGTAGGCAGGAGGGTCTCAGCATCTCCGGGCACAAAGGCCCTCTTGGCTGCCTCTTGGGGTGCCTGCTGAAAGTCAAGTATACACTTTAAACGAACAAGGAGCCACTCTGGAAAACAGTGTGGAGGTTTCCCCCCAAATTAAAAATAGACCTACCCTATGACCCAGCAATAGCACTGCTAGGAATTTACCCAAGGGATACAGGAGTGCTGATGCATAGGGGCACTTGTACCCCAATGTTTATAGCAGCACTCTCAACAATAGCCAAATTGTGGAAAAAGCCTAAATGTCCATCAACTGATGAATGGATAAAGAAATTGTGGTTTCTATACACAA